CGGCACTGTCTACGGTCACCTACAATTTTGGAGAGGTGCAGCAGAGTGTCTGCAGAAGGGGTAGGGGCACATTTGCATTCACTGCGACACAAAAGCAGGCAACCTGGTTTCTGAATATAAATGAACCTTAAAAGTCTAGTAGGAAGTGTCTGGGAGTGAGGGGAGTCCAACAGGAGAGCAAAAATGCATCAATCTAGGCCAAAGTTTATAGTTAATATCAGCATGGACATTGGTCCCTAATGTTGAAAATTCATATAATGGTTTATGGCTCAACACAAGAGTCAAGGGATTCACTAATCAGGTACTATAAGCTGACATTCCAAGGGGGAGTCAGGACCACTTAAGCTATTGTAGGTGAACAACTTCTTTCTCTCCATCTTAAAATGTAGAGAAGAAAAGCGGATCTAAGAAATGGGATTGTAGACAACTGCAGAAACACTTGGCCAATGCTAAGGTTATGCAAGTAGCATTGATATAGCATAACTTTAAAAGAAAATGTTGCATAACAAGTCTTGACTAGTAACCTAAAAACTAGCACCAGTATTCTTGGAATTAGAGAGTGTCACAGTGGTAGACACGGAATGCATGTCTAAATTAGTAAATGTAAATCAATAAACATGAATAATGTATGATTTGCAGTTCTCCTTTGTTGCCAACTCCCACATACACGTGACATGAAATGTTTATCTGTGAGAATAAAGTGACAACTCTGCAACCATTCAAATCACAAATTCGCAATTATGGATCTACAAGATAATACATTGCTTACCCAATGGTGGGACCTAAATGTGTTTCTCAGGCACCTTTAAAAGAGAAGAGGAAGAAGAAAAACACAGAACCATCAAAGTTTGGAAAACAAAATTTAATTGAAGATTTAAAATTCAATCGATGGTGATGTTTTCATAGTCATTCCAAAAAAGTTAAAACATTTTTGAAGATGTTTCGCTTCCCATCCAGGAACTTTTTTTAATTCAAAATGTCAGGAATAGCATTGAGTTCGAGGCTATATACATTAGCCCAGCAAGACCTTGTTTTTTGTTTAGAAAACATGCAAAGTGAAACGGACGACCGGGTCCACCGCTTGGAATGGGGGTCGTTTTGGCTTCTTTTGTTAGCCTGCAAAGCCAAATACCTGTCTATGTCTCTGAAGGGGTCGTTAAAGGGAATTGTTGGCCTGGCTGAATAGGCGAGGTCTTTTTTTCCCTGTAAAGGGGTTGGGGTTTTTAAAAGCTCAAATCTGATGTTTTTTTTTCTTCCTCTTCTTCTTATTCAATGCTAGTTGGTAAACAGTTTTCAGGGGCATTACTGCCACCAACTGGCCGGCAGTATAAGAGCTTCATCAGGGGCTTTAGATTTGTAGTCATCCATTTGTGATTTGTACCTGTATTCTAAACAAAAAAAATGTGTTTTAACCTCTTTTTGCTTTTTCTGTGTGTCAATTCCATATGATCAAAAATTGTGATACAATAAAAATTAAATGTGACCTTGTCAGTAACTCTTTAATCTCTTTAATCAGATCCGGGTTATAGCCATTGTGTGGCGAGAAGAGAAAGTCTCCTATCGTTGCATCGTTCACTGTCAGAACCAGCAGTGGTACATCTCGAAAGGTGCTCTCAACATCCATACAGACCACTTTGGGTTCTCATACGGAACAGCGGACATCATGTGTCCCATCC